AAAATTCGACTTAGCGGGAATTCGAGTTATTCGTTTCTCCGCTTAGCTCGAAATCAGCGTGAAAATCGCAAAAATTCGACTTAAGCGGCAAAGCGCCACACAGTGGTTTTTTAGCGGCAAAAACCCCATTTTCAGAAGATCATTTATTTTAAAAAAAAAAATGTTATTTTCCAACACTTAAGGGTTCACGCTAACATAAGTCAAACATATAAGTACACTACATATAAGTCAATAGTATTTTTTACTGTCATTCATTTATAAGATTGCTACAGCACGCTAAAAACAGAATTTTTATCTTGTAGAAAATATTCCTTAAAATAGGCATTTTTTACGCAAAATTCAGCTGATCCTATTTAATTCTAAATTAATTTTTTAGAGTAAATGCTTTAAAACCTGTCATCTCTAGTTCATATAGAAGTGATTTCTTGGGGTGGTTTAAAAAAAAGCAAAAATCTTGAATGACGGGGATAAAACCAGATATTCTTCAAATTTAAAAATCCCATCAGAATAATCGGCTTAGGAAAGACTTTTAAAAAATCTGTCAAGGGATGTTAAAAGATTACAGGCATTTTCAGAGAGTCAAAGGTATGTAGTAACTGCCCTGAAAATATTTCAACCCTTTTCAACCCTGTTTAGAAGTTACAGGGGTTGAAAGTTATCAAGGGCGCGAAGAAAACACAGTTTTCGAGAAAGTTCGCGCGCAGCACCGCTGTGGCCGGTTTCGCTAGGTAGTTTCATTAAACAATTATTAAGCCTGCTAATAAATACAAGCATTTTTTGAGGATCAGAGATGTTTGCTAGCTATCGTGAAAACGTTTTACCCTCCCTATTTTACTCTTTTTATAAATTACAGAAGTTGAAACCTTACCACGAATCATTCATTGAATTTCGAAATCTATACCTACAGAATTATCGGTGTAAGAAGATATTTGAAAATCATGTAAAATAGTTACAAGCATTTTCGGAGGGGGGGGGGGGTCGAAGGTACCCTCCTTGAGTCTCTTACAAAATTACAGAGATTAGAATAGTAAAATGACACGGCAAGAAATACAGTTTCTTATGGTTCTCGCGCATCCCCGTCGCACCGCGCTGGTATGTCTTACGCTAATCTACGCTGCTTGGTCTGTGGCTGCTTCCAGCCACCTCCTCGCCGGTTGTTTGTTTATGCCAAAGAATTCAGTTCCATTTAATTATAGAAACGACAAATGAAAAAAGATGAAAAGTTTCCCAACTTTCGCCCAACCCCCAATACGTCCGTGACTAGTCCCAATCCAATCCACGTGGGAAACGGTATAATACTTTTTAACACCTGAGTGGCTAACAGGGCTCTGGTTTGACCCCCCCCCCCCCATCCGCATTTCGAATAACCTTCGGATAGTCTGCCTTATTTACAAGTGAATAATAAAATAAAATAAAAAACAGCAGCAGCATCAGCAGTACTATCTCTGAATTGACCCGGGCAGTAAAAAGCGACTGAGAGTACCTAACTGCTCCCGGGGTTAGCCTATCTTCTTTTCATCAGCCTCGTCTGCAAAGATTTAGTGTATATTCGGCTGCCATACGTATATGTTATACTTAATACAAACAACAATAACAATACCTACCAACATCAGCGATAATAAATATCTAAAAACAACAACACAAGCACAACTTTTCTCAAGCACCGAAAGTTGAGTATTTAAGAATTAATTACCTGTGCTTTTAATAAGGAATTGTGTTTTTTCTAATAGTTTAAAATGTATTAAAGGTGAATAATAAGTTTAGATTCCCATAAATTACTTTACATTAAAGTGTGAAATTGAAAAGTTTAGTGTCTTTTGGTCACAGAAAACTTCATAGTACCGCGAAGTTTTCATTTTTGAATTCACCCCCGTATTACCAGTATAACAGTGGGATTTATTATCAACGCCCCCCCCCCCCCCGGTCAAAAACTGATCTATTTCTAATTTTTTGTGATAGTGTTTGTCTAATACAGGTATTTGAAGATACACAACGGTTAAAATTCACATTTGTTAATTTTATTCATGGTTATGAGGTTTTTGCCAATTTTCCCATAAGGAGGAACCACTGTGCGCCACGCTATTCACTATCGACAGATTTGCGGAGAGAGTAAAGACGAGCCGGAAAGTGCGGAAGTTTGGAAAAAAGAAGTGTTACCTGATCTTATTGCCGGATATGACGCATTCTGTATTTATAACGCGGACGAGCTAGGCCTTTTTTATAACATGGTGCCCGACAAAAGTATGGTTCGTAAGTCCAAAACGGCTCACGGAGGAAAGCGGTCCAAGAAGAGAGTGACAATTCTTTTGTGTGCAAACTCAGATGGCAGCGACAGGTTGAAACCGCTAATGATAGGCCATGCAAATAATCCGCGATGCTTCAAAAATCTGAATCGTCAAAAAGAGGGTTATTCATATAGGCGAAAAATGTACCCAGCCCGGAATGTCCGAAACTTTGTGAGCTGATAGTACTAGTTGAGAGAGGCTTATCCCTAGCTCCGTTTTTGCAGGAACCCCAGGGAAACAGCGTTGCCATTTTTTAAAGTCGTAACCTTCAAACACCCATAACTTTCGCAGAAATGCAGTTACAGAGCTCGTATTTATACCAAAAGATGCAAAAAATTACGTTCTATCGACCAATGCCAAAGAAATTTTAATTTGACTCCATTGTTGCCACGTTTTGGCCATTTTTTTAATTTTCGTAATTATTTAAAATCACGTTACCGCCTAAAAAAGTGTTTGCGGTTGGTGGGGATTGAATAAAAACCTGTCGGAATTATTGTTCGTTCGATTCCGCATCCATCGATATATTATACTTTTCTGAGAGACTTAGGGAACACGAGTTATAGCGATTTGAAAATTCGGCAACACGCCCTATACCCCGATATTGACGCTCGTTTAGGTACGTTTCGCAACTCCGTGTTAAAGCAAAACGCCTAGAACAAACAAAATTCGAAAAGTCAGTTCATGTTTTGCGCTTTTTTGAAACTTTCACATGATTTTTAGGAATTCAAGTAGCGGCGGTGTTGCCGGTTTTCAATGAAAACCACCGCTGCCATCACAATTTAAAGTAGTACTCATTTAATCTTATCCAGCTACATTTGCTAACCTAAACTGACCATTTGCGACATGGTGTTGACAACATTGCCTAATTTCCGTCGGAATTCGCGTAGAGGCGGGGTTGCCAGTTTTCATGGAAACCGCCACCGCAATCACAAAAAAAATGTATTACTTATTTAATCACGTTCAGCCTTATTCTGTAGTTGGAATTGTTTATTTATCGGATCGATGGTTTCTTCTATCCCTCTGCAACGGCAGTGGTGACCGACAGTACCGAGATATCGATATTGTATAGAGATCAAGAGCAATGGATCTAGGCCCCTCGCCAAAACTACTCATCGGACCGCTTGAGTGATTCGGTAGCTTTAAATTTCGATATCTCGTTACTGTCGGTCACCACTGCCGTTGCAGAGGGATAGAAGAAACCATCGATCCGATAAATAAACAATTCCAACTACAGAATAAGGCTGAACGTGATTAAATAAGTAATACATTTTTTTTGTGATTGCGGTGGCGGTTTCCATGAAAACTGGCAACCCCGCCTCTACGCGAATTCCGACGGAAATTAGGCAATGTTGTCAACACCATGTCGCAAATGGTCAGTTTAGGTTAGCAAATGTAGCTGGATAAGATTAAATGAGTACTACTTTAAATTGTGATGGCAGCGGTGGTTTTCATTGAAAACCGGCAACACCGCCGCTACTTGAATTCCTAAAAATCATGTGAAAGTTTCAAAAAAGCGCAAAACATGAACTGACTTTTCGAATTTTGTTTGTTCTAGGCGTTTTGCTTTAACACGGAGTTGCGAAACGTACCTAAACGAGCGTCAATATCGGGGTATAGGGCGTGTTGCCGAATTTTCAAATCGCTATAACTCGTGTTCCCTAAGTCTCTCAGAAAAGTATAATATATCGATGGATGCGGAATCGAACGAACAATAATTCCGACAGGTTTTTATTCAATCCCCACCAACCGCAAACACTTTTTCAGGCGGTAACGTGATTTTAAATAATTACGAAAATTAAAAAAATGGCCAAAACGTGGCAACAATGGAGTCAAATTAAAATTTCTTTGGCATTGGTCGATAGAACGTAATTTTTTGCATCTTTTGGTGTAAATACGAGCTCTGTAACTGCATTTCTGCGAAAGTTATGGGTGTTTGAAGGTTACGACTTTAAAAAATGGCAACGCTGATTCCCTGGGGTTCCTGCAAAAACGGAGCTAGGGATAAGCCTCTCTCAACTAGTACTATCAGCTCACAAAGTTTCGTACATTCCGGGCTGGGTACATTTTTCGCCTATATGAATAACCCTCTTTTAGTGCGATTACGAAGCAAACAAAACTGCTTGGATGACCGGCGACCTCTTCAAAACATAGGTCAAAAAGCTAGATCAAGATATGGCCGGTAAAGGCAAAAAAATAATTTTATTCATAGATAATTGTACTGCTCATACTCCTGATATTGAAGGTTTAACTCATGTCAGAATTGAATTTTTCCCGCCCAATGCAACGTCCATCCTTCAGCCCCTTGACCAAAGAGTTATAAAAGTAATGAAACACAAGTATCGAAAATCAGTCGTTCGGAGGCTTCTTAACTTTATAAACCTCCCATAGAAACTTGTTGTGTTTTTCGTTGTAAAAATCCGGATTTTTCGAGAAAAAAAATTTCGACATAAGCGGCTTTCCACCCGGCTCAAAAATTCCCGAATTCGTCAAAAGCGTAGTTTTTTTAACGTTGTTCCATAGGTATGCAACGTTGCGGGACCGAAGAAAATTTCGACTTAAGCGGATTTTCGTCTTAATCGTGGTTCGACTTAACGAACTTTTACTGTATTTCAAAAAGTATCAAGAATTTTTCCCTAGCGCTCGTTCGGTGTTCACACACGGATATTTAATTGTGCGTAACAGAATGTAAAATAGAAGAAACAAAAAAGGACATACCATTCTTCGCCGATTCACTTCGGTGATGTTGGTGCTATAATCCCATTGAGCCGACGAAACTCTGAAGCAGATGTTGGATGCCTCATTTTCGTACTCACGGAGGAATATGAGAACATCCTCTAAATTCATTACGGTTCCCTGCGGAAAAAGACAAATTGAGACAACAGTTCATTTTTCTGGTGATACGTATGATTCTTCTCGTAGGAAGAGTAATTCTATTACCAAATTGGGGAGAAGGGGGGGAGTACAGCTTTGTAAGCATTGGTTCAGGCGTTCACAGGGTGTCCCAAAAGTCCGAACCCCCCCCCCCCCCCCCCCCCCCCCCCCCCCCCCCCCCCCCCCCCCCCCCCCCCCCCCCCCCCCCCCCCCCCCCCCCCCCCCCCCCCCACC